GATCTTAAGCCACTTTATTTTGTCTATTTTTGTTCTTTTCCTGATGATTTTGTTGCTTGGATGAAAATCCAAACCTTGTGAGCACGGTTCTGTGTGTCATCTCAAATTGTGCAGTTCTACAATGGATTTGTGTGATTTATATAAATTGTAAAACTGTAAAAATGAACGTTCTGATATTTGTAGTATTTCCATTAAAATAAGATGCTAGGAAAAAGTTAGCCTACTATATTGTGTTATAGTGCTGAAATTTAAAAACTTAACACATGGTAATAAATTAAAAATATATTAATGAGTAGAGGCATATTCAATTCCATTACCATATCAAAATAATGCTCACAGCTGCTCACAAATGTGCTTTGTTTCCACTAATCATTGAGGCCACAGGCTAAACTCTGGACTGAATATTAGATTCCCATGTCAGCACCAGATAGCAATAAATAGCAAACAATTTTAAATTGAACATAATTTCATAGAATGGCACTTTACTGCATAAACAGCACCTTAAATTACATAATCCCTGTCTGCTAACTGTGGTGTCTTTTATAATATGTTGTTGAAAATTGTGGCATCTCTTAAATTGTGTTGTATCGTATCTAATTTCAATGTTTAGCTGTGATGTGTGTGAGCACATTGTACTGTGATGACCTGACGGGGGACTACAGATGTAAAATAGCCTTTGGCCTAATTCTGGGATATTTACATTGCTGAAAAGCTTAGATGTCCATTAATATGCACTGTCCCTTTTGAATAAATAAAAATAAATAAATAAAATTAGCTCTAGCACAGAAAACACACTAGTTGGTCTGTGTTTTAACAAAAACTGTATCAACAATGTTTTAAGTCTATATGATACAGAAGAATATAAACCAATGTATCTGACTAAAGATTGTAGCAACATTGTAGCTAATTTTATCTCAATACCCTTAGAGTAAAAACTTACAGGTTTATTTTCACACTTTTGGCAGAAGTTACAACCTATTTCACGTCAGCTCTATAGTCTACATTATGCCAAAAATGTTTTGAAATATTTAAGCAGTGGAAGCTTTTCAAAACTGTAATGTTTAGCTGTGCTAGCTAACTGGCAGATGTGTGTTGCATTAGCATTGCTTCCTTCCTGTTCTTCTTTGTGTGCTGTCTTCCTATTTGTCCATAAAGCCTGAAATATGACGCAACGTTTCTTTTTTGCTTGTGTATCCTTTCTGCTTCATATCCAAATCATCCACTCGCATTCTCAGTAGAGCTTAGGAGTTAGCAGCACCTTAAATGTAACACCATACTGGCAAGGTGTACCGGGGCATTTCAAAAAAACCCACAGATATCATTAGTGCTTTATCGTCTATGAAAAGTCAAAATGTCTGCTGTGAAAACGGTCTACACAGTGCCATGGAAGACAGAATACAATGCTAAATGTAATCAATTTGGTAAACATGAATTAGTCTCATGCATGTTGCATTTGACTGAGCGCGTTGCATGAAGAGGGGATTTTGACAATTCAGAGAAGATCTCATGAACAGGACACAAAAAACTTTTCCCGCTAGCAGGTCGAAATGTTTGCTAGTTAGCATGGTAGCATTAATTTTACAGATGGACCTATGCTTTGGTAAGGCAGCTAACATAAAGCCAGTGACAACATGGTAAATAAAGGAACCTAATGCAATATACAGTAAGCAAAGGACATTTTACATGGAAGTACTAAATTCTATGTAGTCATTTGATTACACTCATTAAAACTATAGTATATCTGTAATGCCAGGAACACGCCGGCTACCTGCTTCCCATTTAAACCAGTTGGGCTATTTGGACAGTGTGCGGCCAGTTCATGTCTGATTAATATACTGATAATCTACAATAAACAATATAAATGATATATATGAAAGAAATTATCTGATACTGATAAATGATACATTTTGCATCCCATGCTTGCCAATCCTTTTGATTTCTCTTTCCCTCTCCCCACTGATCAAAATCTGCCCATCCACTATAATTATTAGAAACAGTATAACTGCTGCTTGTTGTTGTGTTTTTTAGATGACGTACTTATTCTGCATATAACAGAGGAGCATAATCGCCTCTTGACCGGTGCTTCTATTGTGAACAGCCAGGCTACGGCTCATGCAAGAATTGACCTATGGCGGCTGTTTGTGGCGTTGTGCCTCCTGTGTGACCCCGGCGTAAGGGAGAGAATTAATATTTCTACAGAGAGAAAGCTGGATGTCAGAAACAGAAAGTGAAGTGATATAACCTTTACAGATTTGTTGAGAGCCCCTTCCCCCCTCTCACACTCCCACACACGCACTGCTAGCAGTTACTGTAAATAAACATACAGTAAATTCCCAATTCAAACTGTGTGTGTGTGTGTCTGTGTGTGCGTGTAACTAAGAAACACAGGGAGAGAGGGAAGAAAGGAAGAAAGTATCTATGCAGATGCCAAGGAGGGAGTGTGTCTTCTCATTCAGTCCACACACACTCACACACACACACACACTCCATAAAACATGGGTCTCCGCATTCTACCAAATCAAGTGATGAGCAGCTCCCTCTCTCTCTCTGGTTTTTCATATGGAAATAGGAAATAATGGGGTGATTAAATAGAGTCGTATATTAAAGTACAGCTGACATTAGAATTAGCATAATGTGCTCTCGCCTCGGGCTGCATACTTTATTTGCCATCTGCGTTGGACTCCCTTCCCCTGGGAGGGCGCACGCACACACACACACACACACACACACACACACACACACACCAAACAAAAACCACGACCCACTCCTTCCACTGCGGCCGAAGAGAAATGGCGTTTCAGTGCAGAAACACACAGTAGCTCACTCTTCCTTTCACATTCACACACACCACACACCCCCCTCTGCTCTTAATGGTTGGGCAGAAATGAGCATCGGCCACCCCCCCCCCCAACCACGACTTCTGTCGGCAGTCAAGAAGTTAGGCTGAAAGACAGAAGATAGAGGGAGGATCTGCTCTTTCTCTCTCTGTCTGTCTGTGTGTCTGTCTCTCTTTCTCTCTCCAGTTTTTACTCACGGATCAACGGGAGAGAGAGGAGTGTTTGGAGTGCTCAGGGTCTTAAGATACAGCAGTAAAACAGTTTGTGTGTGTGAGAGCTTAGAGAGAGAACGGTGGACACAAAAGCTGAGGCATGGGGAGCTGTTTCATTGTATGTGTATGTGTGTGAGTGTGTGTTTGTGTGTGTGTGTGTGTGTGAATGTGCTGTCCACTATAATTAAGTCAAAAGGCTTTACAGGACTGTGGAGGTTAACAGCTGTTCCGCCTCTCGCCTGTCCTCCTTAACACACACACACACACACACACACACACACACACACACACACTCACACACACTCGCATGAGCAAGCTAGAGAAGGAGAGAGGCGTTTCCATGAGAAGAGGTTATGTGTTTAAGTTTCATGTCAGATAGTGAGAAATTAAATAATTATTTAATTAAAAATGAAAAATTGTTAATACATTTTTTCTGCAGATTTAAAAAAATACGTGCAATATCACCGATCGTTGTTGTATTTGTCACAGGTAAATCATTGGGCTTTTAACATGCATTTTAACAGAATTATTTTGTAACAAACATCATTGAAGGGTGTGGCAAAATTCATGGGATTTAAATATTCTACATATATCCTTAATAAATATACAATTTATTGATTTGGGGGGGGGGGGGGGGGGGTGCATCATGAATGCATTCATTGTATTTTTTTAGGATTTGCATTGCTACATAGACATTTATTTTAAGAAAAATGAATACTTAGATGTGTGCATGAACTAAAAAAACTTAAGACAAAGAAATTAAATACAATTTTCTCCCTATAGTAGTGCATTCACAAAATCTATAAATACAACAATTAAAACGATATTAGTATATAGCATACATGTCTAGATTTATATATATATATGTGTGTGTGTGTATTTGCCATAAACAGTCAGGACACACAACCACACACACACACACACACACACACACACACATAGGTGAAACAATTACAGCAGCATGTGTTTCCACTAGCATCTGAAAGTAGTGTACTAGGTCAAGACAGCCAGCTTTCATTTAATAAATACAAGAGCGAGAACAAGAGCACAATTACTATTATCTGCGTGTGTGGGTGCAGGGGTGTCTGTGTGTAATCCCCGGAGGAGTGCCCCTCAGCCTGTTTAGTGTCCTTTAGTCGTGGATCTGGTTTGACTGTGCTAAAAAGTCCCCTTAGAATTGCGGGAATCAGTGTATATGTGCATGTGTATTATATAAAAAAGGGATTATTCTGTTTTCTAACCAACATTATGAAGTATTGAAGTCTGTGACATGTTTAGTCAGACTAGGCCATAACACAGATATATTTCTTTTTTGATTTCTATTAACTTCATAAAAATCATATATGCAATCAACATTAATTTGTCTCCTCCTGCCTGATTTAAAGAAAAAAAATGACTCCCCAGAAGAGCTGAGACCTTTATATGCTGGCGTGTGATTTGTCTTCCTTGTACATCTCCCATCTTTACCAATATGAGTTTGGCATCTCTAACTCTGTGAACAACAGAGTCTCTCTGTTTCTACTATCATGCTTAATGTACACGTAAACCCAGATGCAGACGCCCAGTCACATGCTGTAATAATTCACCACTTTGTATTGGAAGCTTCCCTCTGTACCAAGTGAGAGATTGAGCACCTATTAAAACATGCATCCAGTGTGGACCAGTCCAGTGTGACTGTGAAAATGCACTTGTCAAAAGAGATAAGTATGTAGCATTTATGTGACAACATGATGAGCCAAGGTCTTTCCAGCTAGTGGGAATATTAGGCAGGATATAAAGCATACACACTTATCACATCTCAATGTCTGCCAAAAAAAAATTGTTTCCGACAATTTTAATCATTGATGAAGTAAATTTTACTTCGACCTAATAAGGTCTTAAAAAGGAATGTAGTATAAATGAGTTGGTTCTCAGCTGAAATATTGAATGTATTTTTTTCTCTGTGTTGCAGGTGGCAGGGATGAGCCTTCCAGCTACATATGTACCACATGTAAGCAGCCCTTCCCCAGCGCCTGGTTCCTGCTGCAGCATGTCCAGAACACCCATGGCATTCGCATATACCTGGAGTCCAATCCATCCAGCACAGCCCTCACCCCACGCCTCACTATGCCTCCACCCATGGGCAACGACTCCATCCCCCAGTCCCCCCTCACCAACTTTCTCGGGGACAACAACCCCTTCCACCTCCTGAGGATGACGGGCCCCCTGCTCCGGGAGCCTCCCCCGGGTTTTGGGGAGAACCGCCTCCCCAACACACCTCCATTCATCAGTCCACCTCCCCGGCACCACCTGGACCCCCATCGTCTGGAACGCCTTAGCGCAGAGGAAATGGGCCTCATCTCCCAGCACCCCAGTGCCTTTGAGAGGGTGATGCGGCTAACGCCCATGGCCATGGAGTCCCAGTCCATGGACTTTTCCCGGCGGTTACGTGAGTTGGCAGGGAATACCAACAGCACCACCCCACCATTGTCACCCAGCAGGGCCAACCCTATGCACCGACTACTAAACCCAAACCCCTTCCAGCCTGGGCCAAAATCACCCTTTCTGAGCACCCCACCTTTACCGCCGATGCCCCCAAACAGTACCACCCCTCCCCAGACACAGAACAAGATCAAGTCCTGTGAGTTCTGCGGTAAGACCTTCAAGTTCCAGAGCAACTTGGTAGTGCATCGGCGCAGCCATACTGGAGAAAAACCATACAAGTGCCAGCTGTGTGACCACGCCTGCTCTCAGGCGAGCAAGCTGAAGCGCCACATGAAGACCCACATGCACAAGGCTGGATCCCTGACGGGGCGCTCAGATGATGGACTGTCCACCACTAGCTCCCCAGAGCCTGGCACTAGTGATGTGACAGGTGAGGGCATGAAGAATCGTGATGGCGACTTCCAAGGGGAAGGCAATGAGGAGGAAGAAGAGGAGGAGGAAGAAGAAGAACTTGAGAATGAGAGTCGACCAGAATCCAATTTCAGCATGGAGTCTGAGTTCTACCGGAACAGGGAGAATGGCTCTAAACCTCCTTCAGAGGAGAAGTCATCATTCGCCCTTGAGAAGATGGTAGAAGGTGGGGGGCTCAACTCTATACAGCAGTACAATAATTTGATAGTTGACAATCGTAAAAGGATGCCCTTCTCCAAGAGGTGCTCGGATGGCCAGCGGGACACTGGGGATGAGGACTCAGTGGCTGGGGAGATGGACCACCACCAGCAGGAAGAGAGAACAACCATTAATGGCCGGAATTGTGGCTCCGGTGACTCTTTCTCAGGCCTGTTTCCCCGTAAACCCACCCCCATCACCAGCCCCACCCTGTCCAACTCATCAAATAAGAGGATCAAGATTGAGAAGGACTTGGACATTCCCCCAGCACCCCACATCCCTTCTGAGAATGTCTACTCCCAGTGGTTGGTGGGCTATGCTGCCTCACGCCACTTCATCAAAGACCCTTTCCTAGGCTTCACTGACTCCAGACAATCGCCCTTCGCCACCTCTTCTGAGCACTCGTCTGAGAATGGCAGCCTGCGGTTCTCAACGCCTCCGGGTGACCTGCTGGATGGCGGCCTGTCAGGCCGCAGTGGCACCGCTAGTGGAGGCAGCACACCTCATCTGGGTGGAGGCCCAGGTCCAGGCCGACCCAGCTCCAAGGACAGCAGGAGGTGCGACACCTGTGAATTCTGCGGCAAGGTGTTTAAAAACTGTAGCAACCTGACGGTGCACCGGCGCAGTCACACTGGGGAGAGGCCCTACAAGTGTGAGCTGTGCAACTATGCCTGCGCCCAGAGCTCCAAGCTCACACGCCACATGAAGACACATGGCCAGCTGGGTAAGGAGGTCTACCGCTGTGACATTTGCCAAATGCCCTTCAGCGTGTACAGCACTCTGGAGAAACATATGAAAAAGTGGCATGGAGAACATTTGATGACCAATGAGGTCAAAATTGAACAAGCAGAGAGAACCTAAACCAGGTTCTCTGTTTCCATACTCTTTGCCACACTTTGACTTAAAAAATAAACAAAAGGGGGTAGCTGGATACTCTTTTTCTGAAATTTTAATTTTTGGTTAATTTTATGTTTGTAAGAAACTGCCAAACTGAGAAAAAAGGTGAAAACAGAGATCTTACCACCAATTGAAGCTGTCTAAACTGCCTCATTTGGGGTTCCTTTTTAAACAATCAGTCAGTTCAGTTATAACATATGTGGAGCCTTTAACTGTGCAATAATTTCTGTATTTATTGGATTTTGTATTTTGGCATGTGCAGGTACATTTTTATTTAGGCATTTAAAAGAAAACTTGTTTTGTTTTGATTTTGCGTTACTCTGTTCTTTAAAAACCCACATGATATCCTGAGAGTTTTTTAGAAGGCAAATGTCCATTTTAAGTAATCTTTTTTGGCCGCTGCTTATAGGAAATTGTATATTAAGCTAAAAGTGTGATTTCTTGAAGAGAAGCTAAATCTTCTATTTGAAAGTGGCGTTAACTGAGAATGCTAGAATTAGTCTATTTTGTGTGATGACGATACGCGGACAACAATCCTTTGGCATTGTAGCATGAACGGACTCTAAAACATGTCAATATAATTGGATATGTAGCACTGAGTGTCATATTTGACAGTAAATCTAAAATCAAAGAGGATCCCAAGGTTCATAAACCCTGTCTCCTCCTGAGAACATCTTTACCAGCCAGAAGAAACAGATTCTAGATAAGGCAGCTGCTGACCGGTACATAGTACCAAGCCCTGACAACGCTATGACAACCACCCCTCATTCCTTCTGCCCCCCCACCCCACCCCCAGCATCACTTACTACCATCTTTCCTACGTTAGTGCATCCACGTATTATATTTTGCATGACACCATATGATCTAGGCTATATTATTTATTAGCAGTAAAGTGAGCATGAAGCCATGCAAGATGAGTATGCATAGAGATACACAGAAGAACGAAGACAAGAGAGTGAGCACAGGGACATCTCAGGGTGAGCTATACTACTTTTCTTTATTTACCCATTCATTCCTATGTTGAAATACTTAGGGACACTTGTGTCCACTCACTGCCCCTCTACCAGGCTAATGTCAAAACGTTATCCTTATTTCAAAGTGATTATTCACATTTACATCTGTCACTGCTTCCAATTAATTAGTTTAGAGCGGGTTACATGTATGTGCATACATGGCAGATGCCACTACTTTAACTAGATTTCTTCAGAAAAATTAAATTCTCTGATCTTATTGTCGAAATTTATAAAAACCAACATCCCTATGCATTTTTTTGTGCTAAATTATCTTACAAAATGTATAGTGAATTTTGGCTTGTATTGTTAGAGTGATTCTATAATTGTATAATCTGATCAATGAAGGCACCTTTCCAGGAATAGGAATCAAGTTTCACTGTGTGTTTTTTGTAGGAGAGGAAAAATATATGAGTGTGTGTTGAAATAGTCAGACTAATAGTAAGAGAAGCAGCATCAGTTTGCTCCATGCCCCTTTGTTTTTTTAAATATCATAACCCCAGCTTTTGTTAGTCCTCATCCACCTTCATTGTAGCACTTTGTTATTTTTAAATACACACATAGAGCTGGACAGAAAAAGTACTGAAGGGTCTAGAGCTTGGGATCTCCTGACGCTGAAGTGCCCAGGCTTGTTAAGCGAGACTTTCACAATGCTGGCACTATAAAATAAAAAAAAACAAAAAAAACAAACATATAATTTATTTGGGACAGTTTTTGTACTGCCATACAATTTGACATGAGTGTGCCTTGAATAATGATCTTCCTGTTTATTGTCTCAGAAAAATGCAACACTTTTTATGAAGCATCGAATTGAACAAGAAAAAAATAAGTAAAATTGTGTTAAAATGAACGTGTAATTTGACATTTCAACAGAATAATTTAAATTAATACAAATGAACCAATGCTGAGTTTAGGTTTAGGAGTACCCAGCACAATATCAGTGTGTCTGTGTGTGTATATATGTATGCATATGTACATATAAAGGCACGAACATATATATAGATATATATCAAATTCCTCACCCATAAGGACAAGAGTCTGTCCCTCAACAGAAAATTCCAGGAGTGGACAAAAGCCACACAAAAAGTCAAGGAAGAGACTCGACAAAAATCAGGAAATGCAGAAACTAAAAAAAGAATTTAGTGCACTCTGTCTTAAAACAAGTTTACAGTATTGAAACAAGTACAAGGGTAAAATAATAATAATTTGTGTGTATGTGTGTTTTAAACAAGTATTTTCTTTTCCAGGTTTGCTTCTAAAGTTTCTCTGAATGCCGTAGTGGCGATGTGTATATTGTTTCTTTTCTTTTTCTTTTTTCTTATTTTTGGTGACGGGGTTTTAATATATATAAATACATATGAATATATTACATTTTTCTTGTTTACTGTAAAAGTATACCAGTATTTGTAATATTGGAGAATGCCTGGGCATTTTACAAAAATAGAAAAAAGGTTGTTTTTTATTTTTTATTTTGCAGTCCAATTTAAATTGTGGGTCTCTTAAACTGTTTTTGTCACTGTAACTGTAAAAGTCTTAAGTTTTAGTAACTTTTATTCTGCCTTGGGTGTAATGAAATAAAAAATAAACAAATTAAAAAATGACTGAGCTGTAACAAACTTGGATTTGGTGGTGGGGTGGCTGCTGGGGTGGGGGTAGGTGAATGGGTGCTCCATTAGCAGATGGAGGTTTTCTCCCTTAGAAATGACGGAACATTGGTACTGCTTTTCAGGAAAAACACACTGAGAATCCTGACTTGTATCTATTTTTCTTCTTCTGGAATGGATTATTCTTCATGGATGGTGTGAAATACATGTGTAGGCACTTGCTGTCTTTCCTAAGGAGCTTGTCTTTTTTAACTTGTAGGCTATGTGCATCCTTTTGTGAATAGGGTACTCTGAGTACCTCGGGACGTCTTGCTCTTACATCGGGTGCAGGGGGAGGGTGACTTCATATCCAATGACAAGACACAACTCACAGGCTGCCACAATCTATTTTTCCTCTCATGAGGCAGGATAACTAACCTGATGAATTTGTACTGTTGTAATGAACCATGCTGTACAGAAGGTGATCAAAAGGTTGTATGACGGCCTTTTAGTGACAAAAACACAAGTCGATGCTTTGTTTATCGCTCTATTGGTTGTACATAGTTTTCTATGACTACGCTGTTTTCATTTTCTTTGACTTTGTTTTTTCCTTTTATTTGTCTGTGATTTCTAACTGGCACTGGCAGTGACTTCCTGTGTCTGGGGGTGGGGTTGGGGGGTTATTTTGTTTGACCTTTGTGACCTCCATGTCAGTTTTCAGGCACATGCCTCCCCCGTTGATATTTCTCGGCATGAGAACAGAGCACAAATACAAGCTGTTACAATTCTACATCCTCTGCTTGTTTGTCTCATTTTGTTCTTTGAGCTGGTCTGACAGATAGAGACCCCGGAAACACACTGATCAACATAAACCATAAAGATATTATCTTATCCTATCTTAAATTCTGCTAAGGGTTTCGGAGTCCTGCAGACATTGGCTACATATTGACTACACACACACTTACTGCTGCTGACACTGAACACACAACCCACAACCATATCAAAACCAATCAAAGAAGTGCTGAGATGAGGAAGAAGAAAACAACCTGACTTTTACCCAGCAGTACTCTAAATGGCATTCCATCAATGCTTTTTAAAACCTACAGCAAATGGTTGGTGCTTAGATTAAACCATGAAAGTTTCCCATCAGCTGCACCTCTCTGAACGTCTGAAGTTGCATTTCATCATTTTCGTATGACAACAGACTTTTATTTATTTATGGTCAGCCACTTCCTGATACTTTTCTATTTTCATTGGCTGTCCTAACAGGTTCTTCCACTCAAAAGTAATAAATTCTATCTTCCATATTGACAGCAGTTTGTATTCAAAAATCAAAATCAAAATCAAAATCAGCTTTGGGATGACATGGAGATAATGTCATATTTTATATGTCATAATGTAATGCAGAGGGTAGGGGCCGGGGCTGGCGCTGGGAGCGGGGCTTTTTTTGGAGTAGGGATGTGATGCTGTTTGTTATGTCATTATATTTACATATATGGCCTGAATCATCTAGGCTGTGGCTTGTGTTCTCTGTGATGTCACTGAGATGTGGCCAGTGGGCGCCATTGGCTGGTTACAGTAAACATGGCATTCAGACTCCTGCTGTCTAGTTTTTTTTTTTTTGTGACAAAATGATGGTGCAGTAGCAGCACATGGAAAGCACATATGAAATAAACACTGAAGTCCACAGCAAAAGAGTCCACTGAATAACTCAACACATCACAAGTTACCATTATCCTGTTAATAACAATTAATAATAATTTTTAGCCATCACTGAGAAAAAAAAACACAAAAAGTGACTGAATTCCTCTATAAGTCTCATAAGGAAACCCTTACACTCCAGCTCATTTGCCAGATGCTTTTGACTTGTTTAAACCAGGCAAAGTGTTCTTCAACACATCACAACTTACTGTTAGCCTCTTTAACAAGATACTTTTGTTTACATATTTGTATCACTATCAGTATATTTTAATTCCATTTGAGCCTCTATAATTAAATCTGAAACCTCACTGACAGTCGTGTTATCTTCCAGTTTATCTTGACCAGTGTAAAATGTTGAATCTCTCCCTCAATCAGAGGGGATTAATATTTTTCAATGACAACAATGAATCGGTAACTAGTAATAACTACATAGTTATCACGATTATTTTGCCATATTCAGCCATCGTATGACTTTTCAATTAAAAGGGGTGGTGATGGGGCAGTGGCACATGCCTTTGATGTGAGAGATCCGGGTTCAATTCCCCACTGTGACACATCCACCACTGAGCAAGACACTTTCCCCTATACTCACTTAGACCCCTATAGTTGCTCCGGAGGCTTGCGACCTCCGACATATACAGCAATTGTAAGTCGCTTTGCATAAAAGCGTCAGCTAAATGAGTAAATGTAATGTAAAAGCAAGACAACACAGACAAGAAGATATCAAATTATCTCACAAGCTCTGCGGTTCTATGACTTTGACTCACAGCATTTACAGTGAAAATACAAAAATCAACACTGAAGGCAGCTCAGTCTCTTAGATAATGATTCTTCGCATCATTGAATTTCACTGTCTTCTTCTAAGACACACTGAGGCAAAACGGCTAAAATGAGGTCACTACCTCTCTCATCACCTGCTTCAACATCTCACATTTTTCTCTCTCATTTTGATTTAATTTCATCTTTCCATTTCCACAGTGGAGGAGGGGGAAAAAAAGAAATCCAGACCCACAATTAGTCCGAGGGAGGCAGGAGTGCGGAGTAGGACGGACCGGGGCGAGTTGTGATTTGGCTCGAGTTTCAAGGCAAATGGGTAATTAAGGCTTTTCCCCGGCCGGCCTGCACTTTGAAGTCCCCTACAGGGGGGATTATCCCAGCCAAGAGAAAGAAAGTGAGAGCAAAGTAATGAGACCCAATAAGAGAGAAAGCAAGGAGTGAAGGCTCGCTGCAAAAAAAATAAGAGATAGATTTTAAAGAGATTTAAAATAGCTAAAATGATGAATCATGTACAGATGTGTATGGAGGGTAAAACAACACCCCAAAACAAATCTCAGAGGTTTGAAATACATAATAAAGCAGAGATGTTAATATTAGTCAATTGACAAACACTATTTTGATAATGTATTGATGAAGTCATTTATTTTTCCCAAAAATTCCCTGCGAACAGCTTCAGATTTGGTTCCAGTGTTTGCTGGTTTTCTTAGTCTTCCATAATAATACATCTCTTTGGGTTTTTGGGCTGTTGGTCGGACAAAACAGGACATTAGAAGATGTCACCTTGGACGCTGAGATGGACATTTCTTTACTATTTTCTAAAATTTTTTAGACTGAACGATTAATCAAGATAATAATCAGCAAATTAATTAATGACAAAAGTATTGGTTGGGTGCAGCCCCAGTTCATTTCCTTTGGATCGCACTAATGCTCAGTATTATGTTATCATAAAAGATCACCCTTTGTGATGACAGAGTTGCAATCATTTAATTTTAATTAAGGATGCGTCTTTGTTCATTTGATTCCTAGAGTCACTCCACACTGCTGCAGCAGAACTGCAGACTGCATCGTGACAAGGACGACAGTGTCCTCCTCCCTGCCACCGCTTCCTCATTATTAGCCCTGCAACCTGGGTTTCTTTCCACTACCTTAAACGTGTGGTGTGTGTGTGTGCGCGCGTGTGGGTTGGATTAAGTCAGACAGACACCTCTGGTTATTCAGAGGTATGGAATTATTTCAAGACCCTGACTGGCTGTCAGCGCTCGCTGCGCCTCCTCCCCTCCTCATTAAAAAAAGAAGCAACTTCAAATGACTTAAGCCGCTGGTCGTCAGCGCCAAAGCCACACTGTTGACAGGTACAGTAGGGTCTTAAGCCTTCAAGATCAACGCAGCTATTCTCACTGACAAAATCCCCCTGCGGGGCTCCTCCCCGACTGCATGGCAGAGGAATGAAGGAGGGAGGCGGAGGGGGTTTGGAGGAGAAAGAGAGAAGGGGTCAGATGAGGAGGTGTCACAATGTCAGGAGGTAAAGCTAGGAGGGGAGGGACAGAAGGGCTGGGCATTTAATTATGGCAGAGGTTTCACGGCCAATCCGGGAGGAGTCCCTCGACGTGGCTGGTAATTATTAACATTATCATTCACCAGCCTCGTCCCTGTCCAATTGATTGGCATGCCTGTTTCATGGCTCTTTCCAAAAACGCAGCTATCACGCTCCTCGGTCTCTGCCTCACTTGTCAATTTCCCCCAGCAAATGAATCCTCATCAGACTTTTACTGGGCTCAATTTGATCCCCGAGTGCAGCGCTGCACACAAACAAGAGGAAGAACTGACACTGCCTCCTCTTCAGATCCTAAATAAAGGAATACAAGGTAGATGATTGTTAGCTAAATGCTCCATACATGTAGTGACTTGACTCAACCCTTTGTTTCCCTTTGGATCTGCACATTGTTCCCCCCACAAAGCCTCGTATTGCCGTTCCTCAAATAAAAACATCTCGGCGACAAAGCAGAAGCCATCGATTTATTTCACAATCGCAGCCATTTAGACAATTACACAGATGTAGTTTGTTATTATCTGAATGAATCAAAGCTTTCATATGTGGGAGAAAACAAGCAAAACAATAAAGAGAAAGCTAAATGCGACAGTGATTTCTGCTCTGCAACAAACTTGAGATTCTGGCATCTTATTCCCTTTTTTAATGTGAGCAAAGTGACAAGCAGGGTGAGTTCTTTAAAAGGAGACAGAGAGAAAGAGAAATAGGAGGAGATAGAAGGAAGTAGTGCGTTAGTGGTGGAAGTACTGAAGGCGCCGTATAAGAGGTGCGTGGCGTCTTTTTGATATTCAGATTCGCCTGCCTACACACGGCATTATGACACATTTGGATGATCGCATTGTAGGATTAACGGGCCTGCCTTGTCATTTTCAACAACAATGCCACGATTTAGGGATGCTATTTCTCACACGGCGCTCCGCATTAACGCCCGGCCCAAAGATTTACATAAATCTTTGTCTTAAGATGAAAGCGGAGTGGGGCTTGAGACAATGAAGTTAAGCTTTGGAAATAGGAGAGAGAAGAGAGGAAGGAGAGCCGTCACCGGGCGTTGGTGGCGGAGGGATGAAGAGATGGAAGGGGGAGAGAGAAAAGTTTGAGGATAAATCAACCAGTAGTCATGCTGATTTGAAGAGACACTGTGCCCCCTCCCGTCCTTGCTGGCATCCATATGGTAGAAATAATTAAAAAAAACAGGTGAATAGGGAAGGAGGAGGAAAAATTTGCATTTCTGTATCTAACAGGAGTTGTGCTGAAGGGCGGGGGGTTAGACAAATGGAGGTGAAGGTGATGAATGCATGTGTGATTTAGTGTTGAATGAAAGGCTTCGTCTTCATCATACAAACTCTGGCTTTCTACCCCCCGCCCCCCCCTTCTCTCCCTCTCTGTCCTCTAATCTCCTGGCCTGCAGCAGTCATTGGGAAAGTGCCCTAGATTGTTGCGCCTCCCCCTTCGCCTTGATTGGATTCATCCAGGCTGATTGGGAATCTGCTTACATTAAAGGCAGCGAGAGGAAAGATAGCATCAGATAGATCTGACCACTGAAGGCGATTTTTTTTTGCTTTGAAATAGAAAGGAGGTTACAGGGGAGGAAAGGAGATTATAGGCCAAGAGAGACAGTGAGGGAGAGGTGAGGCGTGAGTGACACTATCAGCGCCAGTATCACTCTGCCCCAGCCTGTATTTCACACACTGGCCACGATTCTAGAGATGAAGCCTTCCAGCAAAGAGCAAGCATGGCGTCAAACCATGACGTCATATGTCCCT